GAAACCACTGGTGTACTAAGTAACAGACCTCAAACAGGTAGACCAAGGAAAACATCAGCAGTTGATGACAGAAACATTGTGACAGCTGTAAAGAAAGACCCTAAAACAACTGTTAGTCACATCAGCAACAACCTCCAGAGGGCAGGAGTGAAGGTATCAAAATCTACTGTTCGCAGAAGACTACACGAACAAAAGTACAGAGGGTACACCAGAAGATGCAAACCACTCATTAGCAAGAAGAATAGGAGACGAGCGTCAAAAATTCTGGGAGAAAGTTTATGGACTGATGAGACAAAGATTAACCTTTACCAAAGTGATGGAAAGGCTAAAGTTTGGAGAAAAAAGGATCTGCTCATGATCCCAAACATGCAAGCTCATCTGAAACACAGTGGAGGTAATGTCATGGCTTCGGCTTGCATCGCTTCTTCTGGGACGGGCTCATTAATCTTAACATGACGGCAGCAGCAAAATGAACTCCGAAGACTACAGAAACATTTTGTCTGCCAGTTAACAGAAAGATGCAACCAAACTTATTGGGAGATCCTTCATCATGCAGCAAGATAATGACCCAAAACATACCAAAGCAACAAAGGAGTTCATCAGGGGCAAGAAGTGGAAAGTTTTAGACTGGCCAAGTCGATCTCCAGACTTAAACCCTATAGAGTATGCATTTTACCTGCTAAAAAAGAGACTGAAGGGAGTAACCCCCCAAAACTGAAAGAAGCTGCGGTGAAAGCCTGGAAAAGCATGACAAAAGAAGAATGCAAACGTTTGCAAAACGCCTGATCTTTGAGCCTGTCAAGCCCCAAAATGGGCAAAATAAGCACTATTATTTTGATCATTTTGGGGCTTGACAGGCTCATAGATTTGGCACAGTTCTAAAAAAAAAAAGTAACTAAAGCAATGCTCACTTTGCTGTATGACAGATCGGTTCCACCCAGAGCACAATGGCATAGCCCCAGTCCAATTGCATTCACTTAAACTCTGTACACATGAGAGAGCGTTCATAAACCTTAATCAAGACTTCATCCACCGAACTGTCTGTGCAAGAGTCAATTCATTATATTACCAACAGCAGAAGAATCCATCAGAGAGCATACTGCTGGGAAACATTGTGACTCTACGGAAGAAGGGATTTTCTTTGCTTTATTTTCACGTTAAATAGATCTTTCCTATGAAGCTTGGTACATTTTAACCTTTTGATGTACAAAAGTAAAATATTTCATGATGTGTCATGTCAGTTCTGTACAATATTATTGTCCAAGAAACACATTTATGACCTGAATACTCTCATTTTGTAATTCACAGGGGGATTCCAGGGAAGAAATGTGGGACAATTATTGTGAAGGCCGAGGAGCTTAGCAACTGCAGGGTAAGAGCTAATATTGATCATGTAAATTCAGGTCTTATTTGTGCCCCATGCTTGCTTATGCCCATCCAAGCTTGGCCAATATCACTCACTGCCAGTTACCTATAGACAATATATAGACGTATATGTCTTTAATACAGAAGTATAAACAAAGATAAACATAATCAAACACAATACCCAATACCCAGTTGTATGTGCTGTTGATTTTCTAGTAGATTTTTATGTGTGTGTAGAGTGTCACATTGTTAACTTAGCAACATGCTAACGCCAAACTGTGTTAAAATCAATTATAAGCCAAGTCTCCTGTGCGGTTCCATCTTTGATTTTGTAATTTAGATTTTTTTTTCAGATGGAATTGATGTAGTAGAGCATCACATTGTTAGCTTAGTAACATGCTAAAGTCAAAACTCTATTGAAATCAATTGAGAGCCTATTCTCTCGTGTGCTTCCATCACTGATTTTGGTTTTTGGTAATGACATTTTGTGTGTAGTAAAGAATCGAGTTGTTAGATTAGCAACATGCTAATATGAAACTATTAAAATCAATGATAAAGCGAGTTTTCTATGCATATGCATCAAAGATTAAATGATTTTGAGGGTCACACTTTATTTTAAAAGGGTCATATGATGCTATTTTAAAGATCATTATTTTGTGTATTTGGTGTAACAGAATATGTTGACATGCTTTAATGTTCAAAAGACACATTATTTTTCAAATACTGTACATTATTGTAGGTGTATTGGGGAAGTAGAATATGGTCATGCACAACATGTGCTTTATACAGTATGTACTAACAGCCAATGTGTTAATAATAGGCATGCTAATAAGCGACTAGTTAATAGTGAGAATTAGACCCTATACTGAAGTGTTATCATTTTTAGTTTTGCTAATGAGATTTTGTGTGCAGTCCAGTTTTTAGCTTAGTAACATGCTAACATCTAACTCTGCTGAAATCAGTTCTGTCCAAGTCTGAAGTTGTGCGCTTCACGTGATGAGCACTATTTGTGTGCTTCACAAAGCTGTTTCAGATCAGTTACTATGAAATTACATTTCAGGAGAAAGAAAGACAGCTTGCTAGGAGCTAATCTCATTTGGCTTCTCAGCATGTCTGTTATAGTCTATTCAAAGTAGCCTCTTTATCTTAGTTGTAAAACACAGGATTCAGTAATAGCATGCATGATGTGCCAAGAACTTCAGCTGTGCTCACACACACACACACACACACACACAGAAATGCAGAAAGACCTCCGCATTGCTAGCGTAATTGTTACATTTGTCTTTCACTACAGGGATCAATAGACCTTATCCCATTCCCTGCTGAAGCATTGCATCTCACACAGACAGTGAATGTGTGTCTACATAAACGCTTGTCAAATGGATTTCTGATTAGACCTTTTAGCCTTGCCATCTGGGTACAGTAGTCAAGCAAATGTAACATGCCAAGCTGTTTAGCATTTGCATAATGTTAGCTGTCTAGAAACCCTGAATGACCAAATACTCGGCTCATTTATACTGATATTGTTGTCCCAAGTGCTCTAAATCCACACGTACACTCCCGTTGCCCTCATAACCTGCTTTTCTAAATCATTCTCGCCCTGCAGGAGTCTGTGATGATGCAATTTTGTGGCAACAAACTGGACAAAAAGGACTTCTTTGGCAAATCGGACCCCTTCTTGGTGTTTTATCGCAGCAATGAGGATGGAACGTGAGTAATACAGACACATGAGAGGATGCTTGCCAGTTACACACACTGCTCACAGCATCAATCTCATCTCAAGCCTCTATGTTGGGGAAATGGCTTTCCATTGAATTCCTTTAAGTTAATACCCATAGTCCTTTGCACCTGGATCTGCAGGGGTTCTTTTGGAATGGAACAATCACCCCTTATCTGATTGATTCTGTTCCTCAATAATTCCAGATTCCTTCACTCAGAGAGAAAGGGGCTATTCAGCTTTGAGAAATTTATATTAAAAATGTATGTATTTATGTAAGCTACAGTTCTATACGGTACAAAATAATTGTGTATATATTTGACAATGAAATTTAAAGTACAACTATTCTGTATATATATATATATATATATATATATATATATATATATATATACACAGTACATACAGTGTATATATATATATATATTGTCATTTTTCTGTAATAATAAAGTATTGTTCAATTATTAAAGAAGATTGAATGAGAAGTGCATACATTTACATTAAATACTTGATTTATTATATTTGATTTGATATTTTAAATTAGTGTATTTATTTGTGCGATGACCGCTAAATAAGCTAATGTTTCCATTTGTTTAATATGTAGGATCATGATGTAGTCATCTCCGAATACTCTATATTACAATTTAGCAGTAAACATACATTCACACACGCACACACATGTTTGTTTTTGTGACATGTTTGTCATGTCATTCTAAACCTGTATGGCTTAGATATTTTGAGAAATGTCTTAGTGCTCAGTTCTTTAAAATATCTTATTTTGTGCTCTTTTGTGCTTTTTGGGTGAAGTGTGTTGAGTGTTTCAATAGTTACTCAAGAGGTTCCATTTCAGTAATGATGCTGCCTAGTCAGACAGTAGACATGAAGGCTGCTCTCTAGAAGCTAATGTTGTCTTACAGTTTTTTTTCAACTGCTTACACACAAAATCTTTACTTGTCACACAATTTCCGAAACCTGACACTCAAACACCAGAAGCACACACCAAATCTGCAAAACCATACATTAATTCTCGGCCTTTGACTCATAAAACAATTTCAATTTCATAAAACAAAACACACAATTCTAACAAGAATAAATATTATGGAAAAGGTGTTTGCAAATGTTTGCTTTTGAGATGTGTTTGTGATATTTTGAATGCAGTGCTTCATTTTGCAAGAGATGTGAGGCATTTTGCATTTTGGATTTGTGTGTAAAGTTTTGAAAAAAAAGAGGCAAAGTTTTAAAAATGTGTGTAAGCAGTTGAAAAAAAACAGTCATTTATTGGGAGTATAGTGTGCTTACTATTCCCAAAAACTCAAACTCAGAGAAGAGGAGGAATGACATAACTATTTGCATCTGTGTGTGGCTATAGATACAGTTTTTAAAATAGAATTGCAATTTTTTTTTTTTTTATGAAAAGCTGCTGTTGCTGTTTGAATACTAGAAGGCAGAGATGGATCATTACTTGGCATATATGTGTACCGACCTGAGACCACCTCAGTGCAAAGCATTATATTTTTAAGATCATTTATTTTAGCAACACTAAACCATACACACTTCAAAAAGAGCCTTCACTCCCCTGAACCATGAGGACATGAGGTAAACTGTGTGTGTGTGTAAGACAGCAAATAGGAAAAAGGCCAATATTGAGCTGTGTACTGAGCCCATAACTGAGCAATCCATTAATGTCTTTGTCCGTTAGAGAACAGAATCCGTTTTTTAAAGTAAATCCTGTGGTGATTTGAGAGAGGTATAGCTCAAGGGCCAGTGTCAGAAAGTCAAATCAAATATGTCAAATATTTGCTCCATTTCTGAAACAGTCCTGTTGATGCTTAGCAGTAAAACCAATACAAATTTCCAACAATAATCACTTTTTTTTGACAGTTTTCAATATTTTTGTACAGAAATTATTTTTTATTTTGTAAATGGTGTGTGTGTGTGTGTGTGTTAAAACACAAAACCAATTCCACTTACATTTGACAAGTTTTAAACTCACATTTGAATTATTTCTTCAAACTACAGTTGTCAATCAATTCAAACATTTTAGCACACACATTTTATAAACGCATTGTTACAAAAAAAACAAACAAGCTTGTTTAAATATTACACTGTCTATGAATTATGACACTCAGATAAATGTATGCAATGTACATTTATGCAATGGTATTCTTCTCACTCACACTACAAACAACAGATTTTATATACTGACTGAATCAAAACACACCGTTGCAAACTCAAAGGAACTCTGTAATAATACAAGAATAAAACAACTTTCATCAGACTATTTACATACAATATATATATTTTTTTTTTGCATGTGTAGAGATGCAATCTCCTGCTAGTATTCATATTAGCATTCTTTGAATGTTGGTGTTTAATTTGTTTGGCTCTGATTATGATTAAATTCCACTATAGATTGGAATGACTTCAGAGAATGGCTTTACTTGTGATAAATTACTTTTGCTCGGTAAGAGGGTCATTATCAGTCATTTACTGATAAACAAATGCAATGCTGTAGCTGTTTCTCTAAGACAGAGAAAGAAACAATTCTTGTCATTTCTAAATATTCCGATAAGTTTTTAGAATCAGACTGAAAGGAATTAATCAGTGGACAGTGGAAGTGGACAATGTCAAATCAGTCAAATTTAAACATTTTATGTAAATAATTGTATGTGCTAATGTTTGACTTGAAACACATCTTTATTTGATGACAATACATATTTTTTCAACTATTATCCTGCTATTTTACAGATTTACCATTTGCCATAAGACAGAGGTGGTGAAGAACACGCTGAACCCTGTGTGGCAAGCCTTTAAAATCTCCGTCAGAGCCCTGTGCAATGGCGATTATGACAGGTATGGAGTGTTTTGTACTGGGATAGGTTTGTTAGAAATTGGTGTGTGTTTTAATTGGTTGTGGGAAACAATATTTTGTTGCCATAAAGTACTTTGAGTTTGATCTCTTCACATTTGAACCATATTTAAACTATGGTTAAGTTATATACTCGCACTTCACACATCAATTAAATCTTAAATATTGAGGTTACTTGGTTGCACGTAAACAGCATTTGTTGTTGTCGGCATTTAACCCCCCTCCCTTTTTTTTAAGTTGCCAGCTACCACCAGTATTTTTGATCATTTTCACAAAAGTGTAATGGCCCCTGAATATTTTTGTTGTGTGAATATCTGAACATGCAATATGGCAAAACAAAGAACATAAACTCTGCTTAAAAATTGTTTTATTCTAGCTTCATGCAATCTTTATTATCAACACTTGAACTTGTGTTTAAGTTTCATTTCTTCGACATGTTTTCATGCAGACGTTCAATACTCTTTCAGAAGATGTGTAATAGCGCATCCTACCATACACCAGTGAAAATTCCGACAATGGTGGGAAAGCACTTTCTCATGAATGACGGAAAATTCCATTCCATTCAATGGCGAGGAAATATAAAAAAAAATCTAATTTTTTTAATTACTTTATTGCAGCAATAAATATTTCATATCAAAGCATACAGAAAATTACTAGATTTTGATGCAATAATAGCTGGACAGCATATAAATATATGTATAAGTACACTGAACAAAATTATAAATGCAACACTTTTGTTTTTGTCCCCAAAAATTTTTTCATAAGCTGAACTCAAAGATGCATACATAAGACTTTTTCTATGTACACAAAAGGCCTATTTCTCTCAAATATTGTTCACAAATCTGTCTAAATCTGTGTTAGTGAGCACTTCTCCTTTGCCGAGATAATCCATCCACCTCACAGGTGTGGCATATCAAGATGCTGATTAGACAGCATGATTGCACAGGTGTGCCTTAGGCTGGCCACAAAAAAAGGCCACTCTAAAATGTGCAGTTTTATCACACAGCACAATGCCACAGATGTCGCAAGTTTTGAGGGAGCATGCAATTGGCATGCTGACTGCTGGAATGTCCACCAGAGCTGTTGCCCGTGAATTGAATGTTAATTTCTCTACCATAAGCCGTCTCCAAAGGCGTTTCAGAGAATTTGGCAGTACATCCAATCGGCCTCACAACCGCAGACCACGTGTAACCACACCAGCCCAGGACCCCCACATCCAGCATCTTCACCTCCAAGATCGTATGAGACCAGCCAGCCATGCGTAATAGCGCATCCTACCATACACCAGTGAAAATTCCAACAATGGTGGGAAAGCACTGTAAGGGACCTCAAAGGGAATCATTTAAGATTTTAAAGGGAACTCCACCAATAATATGTAAGGGCATTAGGACAGAATCACTGTTTTACGGCTGATCACTGAGACGGCCAGCGATTCAGTGAACGAGCCGTATGACATCAATTCTGCAATGGATATCTATATCCAAAATATAGTGAAAACACTATTAATTAGTACGGTAACAAGGTCGGCAGTTTAAAACATTAACTTGTGAGCACAAAACACGAGATACTTCTCTTTTCAATATAAATAAGCCTTTATTGGATAAATCTAACACATATAAACTAATCTAACACATGAACACATGCATTCACACAAGTTTGCAGAAAGAGAGAAAGTGAGGAAATAATTAGTTTAAGGGAATGAAAATGTGAAATCCCAAGTTTACAGCAATATGTGCAATTGCATAGATCTGAACAACCATCAATCATTTAATTAACCCTCGCATTGAGTCCCTCAATGAGGTTAAAATTTATATTAAATGCACCAGTTCAGCTAGAATCTGAGTTTTTCACTGTACGGTTTTCACTGTACAGGGCAGATGGCAGACAGCGTGTATGGCGTCGTGTGGGTGAGCGGTTTGCTGATGTCAACGTTGTGGATCGAGTGGCCCATGGTGGCGGTGGGGTTATGGTATGGGCAGGCGTATGTTATGGACAACGAACACAGGTGCATTTTATTGATGGCATTTTGAATGCACAGAAATACCGTGACGAGATCCTGAGGCCCATTGTTGTGCCATTCATCCACGACCATCACCTCATGTTGCAGCGTGATAATGCATGGCCCCATGTTGCAAGGATCTGTACACAATTTCTGTAAGCTGAAACATCCCAGTTCTTGCATGGCCGGCATACTCATCGGAAATGTCACCCATTGAGCATGTTTGGGATGCTCTGGATCGCCGTATACGACAGCGTGTTCCAGTTCCTGCCAATATCCAGCAACTTCGCACAGCCATTGAAGAGGAGTGGACCAACATTCCACAGGCCACAATCAACAACCTGATCAACTCTATGCGAAGGAGATGTGTTGCACTGCGTGAGGCAAATGGTGGTCACACCAGATACTGACTGGTTTTCGGACCCCCCCAATACAGAAAAAAACTGCACATTTTAGAGTGGCCTTTTATTGTGGCCAGCCTAAGGCCTAACTGAATCAGCATGTTGATATGCCACACCTGTGAGGTGGATGGATTATCTCGGCAAAGGAGAAGTGCTCACTAAGTGCTCAATATTTGAGAGAAATAGGCCTTTTGTGTTCATAGAAAAAGTCTTAGATCGTTGAGTTCAGCTCATGAAAAATGGGGGCAAAAACGAAAGTGTTGCGTTTATAATTTTGTTCAGTGTATATATAGCAACAATGTTTTTTCATGTACAGATGACAATGATGTTAAAATAATCCAAGTTCACATGGATCCGCAACACAACAAAAAACACTGTGTTATGCATACCAGGCCAGTAGATGGCGATGTCACTTTGTAAAGAAACACTATGCATCTGGGCACATTCCCATAAACCAAACAGGTAATATGTATGCACATGATGTCACCATTTTCACAAATTTGCTTTTTTTGTAGTGTAGAAAAATACAACGGCATCATTTTCAAAAACTTGAACTTTTAAACCCGTTTTCAAAAGTTTGCTTTTTCAGGCCCCCAAAACACCATTGACGTGTAAATAAACTGTAGCTGAAAATGGTGTCATGTAAACATCCCATCATTGCATACATATTTTAATAGTTTTTTGTTGTTGTTGTTTTGCATTTGCATTTGCATTTGCAAGGCATCAGAACAGTACATAACCAATTAATATAATACACAGTATAGTGATCTACATTGACATACATATTTTAATAGTTTTTTGTTGTTGTTGTTTTGCATTTGCAAGGCATCAGAACAGTACATAACCAATTAATATAATACACAGTATAGTGATCTACATTGGTTAAAAAAAGAAGATATCTATGAATGGTTTACTTAAAGTACTATCTGCATATTATGTTGGAATAGGATAAATTATATTACAGTTAAAAATAATATTAAGAGACATGAGAAAACATAGAAGAGAATTCCAACCGCTACATGGTATCCCAGAAGCCTCCATCATGAGTAGCTCAAACAGGGCTCTTGCTGTGTGGCGATAAAGCGGGAAGCTTCCTCACGGTAGCGGCACTCACTGATGAGCATCGATCGGTACCATAACGCACTCTCCCACACAATGCCTAGGCTTTATCTCTGATTGAACACGTGGGAAACGAAAGAGAGAGACAGACAGACATATAGGAAGACCGCTGGGCATCCGGAGGAGTCTGGGACGTGAGATAAGCCAGCGCATACGCTCTAATAAAGAAGCACGGAGTGTCTCGCTGATGATAACACTGAGAATGGGTGCTAAGGGATGCTGTGGGGATTGGGTTGTTGTTAGCATGTGTTGCGTTAAAGCTCTATGTAATTGACAGAGCTGTTCTGTTTGAACGTTGTAAACTCACCACTCGCCTGTCACGCCATGGACAGCAGGAGTTGTAATTATTTTCTGTCAAAACGCACTAATCCGGCCCTCTAACCCTAGTATGTGAAATATTTTAAAGAAAAGAAAGTGCCATGGGTAAACTGATTTTAGAGAGATTGTAGTTCCAGGGCAGTTCTGCCAAATCGCTACTTAGAGAATGTCAACCATAAATAGCCTCCACACACAGCACGATTTGCGTCATATTGTAATTATCAAAGTGACTCTAATTATTATTATTATTATAATTACAAAAATTATGAGGAAACTGAATTTTATGAAAGTTTCAACTTTCCACTTAAGCATCTGAAGAAAGTTCCTGTGATTTTATTATAGCCCTTGACACCTAGTGTTCTTCCTTTGTTCTTCAAGGTTTGAAAAAAGAACAAAGAGGTTAATTAGTGCAGCATTTTAAGTATTTTTATGTCATCAACGATGAAGCCGTGCACATATTATTTTTTGGTGTGATGATTATTACCATGGAAACAAATAATTTCGAAGTCCAACAACATGAACAGCTCGGTAGTGTCTCAGCGTTGTCATCTCATAAATATGGTAATTCCAACATGACATGAACACAGCTTTAGGCTAATAACCTATATTACTTTAGAACAATTCATTAGAAATGATTTCTAATGCATGCATCAATATTACTGTTGTTCAGTGCATGCAGTGTTTGTGCTGTGGAATTAATTATACATAAATGATACATAATATAATAATACAAAAACACATAACAATGATACATTAAATCATGTGGCTTGTTAAGGAGAGGTCTACTGTTACTTTTCATTAGTGACCAGAATTACAATTTAATCTAGCAGACAATAGAACAGGCAAAAAAAGAAGAGAAAATCCCATAGAAAAAAAAACTGTCAGAATGGACAGAAAACTGTCAACTATCATTCTCAACATACAAGGTGTGTGGAGCTGTATTCAAATTAATTTTTAAAGAAATTCACACTAAGGCATAATTTACAAGTAGACCCATTGAAACCAATGGAGCTACAATCAACTTAGGCTTACGATGCTTTTGGAAAACACAGCCCAGGTCTAGAGCACTTGTAATGTTAGTCAAGAAGATTGTCATGGCCATTTTCCAGCCTTTTTAATTATTTTTTGGGCACAATAAGTGTATTTGAAGTTTAAAATATTGTTATTCAGAGCAGGATTTTTGACCAGTATTTCAGAATGTAAATAGATGTAAATGAATTATTTCATAGACACACAGCAATAAGTACTTATATTAGCTGTTTTTGCTGCTTTATCATTAATGTCTCAATGTAAACACCATCTTATAGAGCATTGTTGCACTTACTCGAATTTAGTTTATATAATTTATCCCATAAACTGCTCATGCTTTATTTACATGCATAAAACAATCCAAACTGTATTGTGCAGCTTAATTTCAGTCTGAAATTATGCTGTAGGATAAATAAATAAATAATTAAATGTTCATTGTGAACTTCAGAAGGATATGCAGAGCTGTAGGTGCTACACACATACATGAAAATAAAGGTTCAGACTTCATTTTGCATTTTACTTTACACATTGGTGCTAATTTTTTTTTTGTTATTTAGTTAATTTTTTTTTGTTATTTAGTCCATCAACATGCCACCTCAAAGTCACAAAGTTGGAATGAGTTTTTGCAGCTTATTTACAGTTTTTTTTTTGTTTTGTTTTTTTGGACTGAGTAGGAAGCTTTGAGTTATTTTTGTCATAACTTATATTATTTATAAAGGCATTTATGAAATTTAAGTTCAAATGTAAAGTCTCAGAAAATCTAGCAAATCTATATAACTAAATAACAGAGATATTTAGACTTTTTTCCTTTGAGAATATTAAACAACTTTTGATGAAGGGTGATATAAAAACTGAAAACCTTGTGTTTTCTCAATTAGGGTGAGTAATTTCACACTGTCATTTAAGAGGAACGCTCAACAACGTGATGATTTAGAGTCACATATCTAAAAAGTTGTGCAGATGATCCCATCCCCCTGGCTTTTCATTACTCATTCAGCATTACTGAGTGGGAGGAACAGAGATCTTATTTTATATTTTTATATATGTGGCTCACGCTTTTCCATATGTAAATAATCATCACTGTAATAACAGTCTGTTGTTGTTTTTGGTCTCATAATTGTCAAACATATTTCTCTAACCTCTCTCTTTCTCCAACACATTTCTCTAGTTTTCTTTCTCTCTCTCTCTCTCTCTCTCTCGCTTTTCTCCTTTCATTTTTTCTTGCATGCACAAATACACACATGGGGACACTTATTTATGTCTCAGTAGCGATTGGAATGAAGCAATGAATTTAACAATCCTGGTTCCAATTTCATGTAATGCTTCTACTAATAAGATAAGATAACAAAGTTTATCCACTGCTAAGGTGGTGTAGTGGTATGGAGGACTAAGAGTGCAACTTAAAAATAAAGTGAAGGAATCAATGCAATTCAGATTTATTAATTCAAAACTCAAAAAGTAACTGGACCAATTACAGTACTTCCATTTTTTTTTTATTGCATTGGTAGAAAGCGTCAAGCAATTCCTTTGCTTATTGTTTGCTTAATCCTTATTACATTTCTAGCATTTGTTTGTTATACAGTATTAAAAGAGGCTATAAGGAAATAAAATTATATTTAGAGGCAAATGTCAACACATTAAAAAGGCAATTTCTACACAGCCTTAATTTAACTCTAGGGTGTAGAAGGGGTGTTGTGTAATGTCATACAGTGCATTAATTATGTTGCATTTATTCAGTCTCATACAAATTCCATTATCCCATAAATTATTATAATCACTCATTTTTTCTGCACAGGTCATAAACCCCAAGAAGAAAGGCAAAAAGAAAAAATATCTCAACTCTGGAACTGTAAGTATACATTTTTCATGCTACATTCTCGCTAGTGTATGCTTTTGTTTTTATTAATTTAGTTTGCTGTAGTTTTGGAGAGGAACTAAAAGCAACATCGCTACTGAGGGTCAGCGATAGGACCAAAATATTGTGTATTATTGCATATACTGTTTATTGTGAATTTTATTTCATAAAATCAATATAGCCTAACTAATATAAGTAACTAATATATACTATTATATAATAATATAATTTTTAAATGTCTTGAAAGTTTAACCTGGTGAGGCTTAAAAACACATAAAAAGGATAAACTCTCATGACTTCACAAAACTGCAAAGCCATACTGTATGAGCATAACCATGAGATCCATTTTCTACTAGTTTATCATATCTATACACAACAATACAGTAGATAATTGTGTGTGTGTGTATCTGCTCAGATGACCCCACCCCCCCCCCCCCCTCCACCCCCCCCCA